CGAGCACATCAGTTTCCACGTCCATTCGATTCACCCTCGTGAGCAACCGGGAATCGATCGCGGGCACCCTAGACTATATAGAATATTTCATTCTCGTTTCTTCTTCATCTTTTAAAAAATGTCGTTGCTTAATATTGTTGATGTAACGAATTATCGTTGGATTTTACATTAGTAATCTTCCCGACACAGAATACTTTATCAGTTTTTGTAGAATTCGTTTTACCAATCTTAGACGTCTGATCAGTTGCAATTCGTTCGGTTGGCAAAGTGTTAATTCAAGCCTTAATTTCATCCTCTGCGCTCTCCCACGTTAATTCGATAAAACAAATTTTAAAACGATACAACCAAAGAAATAAAATTTATAGAACATCTGAATCCGTCACGCGCGTTATGTGCTAAAATTTGCCGCAGCGAAAGGGTTAATCGTGGTATATTTGTGTAATTTTAAACGATACAATGCCTAGAGTAAAATATAAAAATGTGGTTTCACTGTGACATCCACTGTGCGCGCAACTATCACGATATTCGCTGTCCGAGGGTTGATTCAATTATTTGGTCATTTTTCTCTAGGAGAAGGGTAATGCACGATTTACCTGAAAGCTTCTGCCCTATCTCTTCTTGATCTTGATCCAAATCTTCGGACACCCTGAACCGTCTCTTTAGTAGAGCTATAAACTTTTGCTTTAGATTTCTTTGCTGTAAGAATAAACGTTGTTCCGTTAGATCAAACAGGAAGTTTGTTCTGTGATTAACGAGGAATATTATCCAACTGATACACGTTGACTTCGATGGAACTTGGAATGCAGTTAAAGAATCTGAAAATATCGAAGGGGTATTTCTCTTTTGTCAATAAAAGTTCATATTTAGGGAGTAAAACTGCTGTCTAAAGTTGCAACTGCTGATAATTCTTCGTGGAAAAATTAGGCAAGTTTCGAATTTAGTTTCGTTCGTAATTGCAATTAGAATTCTGAAAGTAATTTCACCTGCTCAATGTGAATTTGTACAAAAAAGAAAGAAAAAGAATACGTGTCCAATATTCTCGGATTCTCCAACTGTTGTGCAATTTTTTTAATCCAAGGCATCGATCATTTGGACAATGTTCCTTGTAAGTCGCAAAAATTGTTCAAAGTCATAAAGTGCCTTTCAATATTTTTATACGCTCATAAAGATCATTCACTTAGTTAAAGAAATTTTTAAAGAATAAACGCATTTCAGCAACAACCTCAAAAGTCACAGAAGATTCTAAATAATTCATCCTCCTCAACTGTTGAAAGTACTCTAGCCGTGTTAATACGTATCTCGGATTCGAACGATCGAACGAAACTCATCTTCGTTTTCCAACTACTACAATCGCACACGAGATATCCATTTCGAGGTTTGCACATTACATCGTCGCAGCTAAATAAAAGCTTAACGAGGCGAAGCATGACAACGCGTGCTCGTGCACATCGTTCGATAATCCAATGGCGGATGAGCGGAACATAGATGTACAAGAGTCTTTCCCACCGGCATTCTATGCGACGAACACGTAACAAACCGGCGCTATAGTAGCAACCAAATCTATTGACCGGTCAAGGCCGTTTATCCTCGGTCGCTTTTCGTCCCACTCTTATCGTTCAAATGCTGTACCCTCGTAAAACACGAGACAAAGAGAGCACATTACCGCTGGAAGTAAGACACAGATCACGTTAGAGAAACAGATACGTTTGTGTGCCTCCAACGTTGACCTGTCGAACCATTACATACGAAGAGCAGCCGAAAGTATTGTACAATTGGACAGGAGGTGATTTCTTGAGCAAAAATAAATAGAAACTGTAGAATTAAATTCTTCCATCCAAGGCTCAATTTTTTCGAAAATTAGGTTCGAAAATCAGTTGCACAGATTTGCACTTACATAGCTAGGTTCACCTAGCGACATAAAATTGCTACAGTCTTCGTTATACACCGTCTACACGATTTTTACGAATTTCTAAGTTCAACAAAGCGCAAAAACAAAATCTGATTACATCGATTAAGGAACTGTTAACCCTTTTTTAAGTGTTTGGCTATTATATAGCTCGCACCGCTCCACCGTCAGCTCTCTTATGGCACTCTTGACATATTTATCCGCGTGTGGTTTCAAATGTAACCACAAACGTACAACGAATCGTGCAAAAGAGATAATAGGACTTTCATGAGCGACGTGCAGTTTGTAAGAAGCTTGATAAGACGAATTATCGGGTTCGTTCTGTGACATACGACCGCAACATTACGGCAGGCTGTCTACATCCGATAGGGGATAGCGGCTAAAGCCACATATTTTACGCAGAAACGAAGGGGCAGAAGTAAATCCTGCATGGTCTGCTCCAACCGACAAAAGGGCCAAAGACGAGAGAGCGGGAATCACCGTAACGCTTGCACACGGAAGCCTGGGTTACATTTTGGAGACTGTTTCGAAAAATATCACACGCAAAAACAATATAAAACGTAATACTACGAAAATGCAATACTCAATTTTTTATAAAATAACGAAATAAATTTATTTAAGTCAATTTATTGGCTTTT